AGGTAACGAAGACTGCTTGGCCACTGGTGGGCTACAGGCACGTCAAATCACTTGCAAAAAATTGAATAATTAAATAATTTCTGGATTAAAATCGTCTGTTTCTTTACAATATTTTGCACAAATGCTTAAATAATCATTATTTTAATAAAATACGTCATAATTTTAACCACAAACACAAAGAAAAAATGAAGAAGTTTAAGTAGAACTTCTACTCGCCATGCTAGACGTAGCGAACGCCATTATCAACCTTCTAGAATTGCCAGATGGCAGCGCCCTACGTCCGATGTTAACGTTTTAGGCTGAAAAGGTCGGCTGCAACCTTTCTATTATTTGGAATCTCTTTGGATTCATTTGAATAAAATCTAGTAGCCCAATAAAAATGATTTTACTATAAAGAGGAACGTAATTATGAGACATGTATCTTGTTTAAAAGTTTTAAAAATGTATAAAAAATACTAAAACCTATTCAAATAAGAAAAATATTCGGTAGTTTGAGATTTAGATATACAGTAAATAACATTTAGGATATTCTACTACTTTCAAATTAAACCAAGTTTACCTGTAAGTTGTCATTTTGAAGTTTTTTCTCTGTTGTCTCGGGTTAGTCGTCATTATCAGTTCGAATAGTTTCAAAGATTTGCTTTTGATCCGAAATATTTGACATAAAAAAAAAAAAACAAATAATCTGAAAATAAAAAAATAATTTATATATAGCTAAAAATACAGTAGAACCTCCATTATCCGGACCTCCGTTATCCGGATTTTCGATTATCCGGATTGTTCAAAATAAACAAAAATTTTACGATTAATATGCATCAATGTCCTTAACCAGTTCAAACCGCTGCCCAGGGGCTGTTCATCCATAACATCGGAAGGACTAAAACCTCGAGTGAGGGAACTTCGAGACTTCCTCCGGTTACTTAGAATTTGTAATGCCTGATGTAAGACACTTTTCATTAATAAACCGTTTGTAAAGGCCCCTAGTATTTTCTGCCTACGCGAGAGCCCCTAGGTCATCCTAGGGGCTCTCGCGTATGTGGGTAGTGTATCGCGTATCCTAGGCATTGGGAACTAAAGGACTTTTCTCTCCTATTAATAAGGAGGTATACTCACACGCCTTATTCACTCCGCTATAGCCGCAAATCATTCAATGACTTTTTTTTTTTACTCTCTCCGCCCTGTGGACACTAAGATGGCCTCTTAAATCAGACCCATTGTGGGTTCAGCCAGGCCCACAATGGGGCGGGCGGGTGGTGAGGGACGGGGCCCGACATATCCGAACGGACCACCCCACGAAAGATTCCTGGGGATTTTTTGACCCGTCCGGATTCTATCCCGTGTCCCCCAGAGCGGTAGGCTGCCACCTTGACCGCTCGGCCATCCGGCCTTATTCAAAGACTTATAAACTAAGTACTAAATTTTCAGAGATCCAAAATTCTCTACTCAATTCAAAAATTCTCTACTCAATTCAACATATCATCCTTGGTACTTGCATATCTTAAGTTTTCCCACTCAATCAAACATTATCACAATGAATACAAATTTAAATATTAAACGTATATTACTACAATTGAGACTAAATAAATTCTCCTTAATTGTGAATAATAATTATATAGATTTTACCAAATCATGTTATTGGTGTAATTCCAGCAGCTTTTCTGCATTTCATCTAATCAGAGACTGTACAGCGTTGAAAAAATATCAGCAACAATTTCAAACTCTAAGAATATTTTCTTCAAATAATGAATTTGATTATAGATCCAAACTGGGTAATTTAACGAAAATAAATATGTATAAAATTGTTAATTTCTTCAACCAAATTACTAATGATTTGAATGTTCAACATCAGAAATAACTTGTGTTCATTTAATTATTTATTGTTTTTATATAAATAACTAATTTATATTTACTTATTATTTGTATTGTTTATATCTTAATCATTACCCCCTGTAACAAGGATTCCTTATTATGAATAAACAAATTATTATAATTATAAAAAAAAAAAATTTTTTTCAGAGATCCAATTTTTGGAAACGCTTGAGAAGTGGGTCCCATTATTTGAACAATGAGCTGTTTGTGTTTAAGGCTACGCGCTCACCAGATTAAGTCTGGCAACCTGGCTCCTCTTGTTTGCAACAGGAATCATTTTGGAATAATTTTTTAATGAATAATTCCGAATAACACATTTGATCGCAATGTTTAAAAAGTGTTTCACAGGTTTTATCATGTCAAAATTTTTGTTTTAGTCTACTGAAAAAAGATCAAAGTGAAAAAAAAACTTACTCCCAAAAAATTCCTCAAATTTTCTGTCAGTCGATAAAAAATCTCCAATCTGGAAACGTTGGGCGGCATTGAAAAAAACTGCGTTTGGTTCTCAACGTCACTTCTACGTGACGTCGTGAAATCGCTAGGGGGCTTGTACTGTACTGTACTTTTCGTTTTAGATGGATCAACTGTAAGATCGGATCAATCTTTGTTACGTGATACAGATCGCTTCTGTCATGTGTTTTAGTTTGCTGAGAGTGTACAAGTAGGATCGAATCGTATTTACACTGAATAAATTTGCTCACAAAACGGCAAAATGGGAGTGCTCGCCATGCATTCTTGCCGTACAATCTCACAAAATTGTCTCTAAATACTTATTTTTTCATCTCAGTTTATCGGATATTTTAATAATGATGTTTTTACTCACCATATATAAATTTTAAGTATACAGGCATACCTCGACTTACGTCGGTTTCGAGTTACGTCGTTCCCGATTATACGTCGCTTGTTAAAAAAGTATATGGAAAAATAAAAATCAAGTTTAAGTCATTTTATTCGACTTTACGTCTGTCCGCCACAAATATTGAAGTCGTAATATCACTAGATAAACGTTTAAAGCACATAAAATCATATTAAAATATATACAAGTATGTACTGTATTTACAGTACACGCATTCGTAAATTTAGATTACTTTTTTTGTACTATATTAAAAACTAAAATTTATTTGTTTGTAAGCTTAAAATAGATTTTTATTAACCATATATTATTTAAAATGCTTTCCTAGTGATAAGTAGATTCGGAGACAGGTAAATTCGACTTACGTCGTTTTCCTGGAACCAATTACCGACGTAAGGCGAGGTATACCTGTAGTACTTTTCTTCGTCGACAGTTAAACATATTTCTTTGCTGTCAACTATAAGCTTGACTTTAACCGTGGTAGTCACCATCTTTAATCTTTTTTATCTAGGGTTTCTCATTTTCCGGTCTTTTGCTTGTCCCGGGAAACAGTTCACTTTTTTCCCGGAATCTCGGGAAATCTCGGGATATAATTAATTATTTTTAAGATAAAAAATAAATCTTAAAATCGAATGATATAATTATTTTTCATTTTAAACTAACTTAATACAACCTGCAACCTCCAAAATAATAACATTAATAATGCTGTGTAAAATAAGTATAAAAAAATTTATTAAAGTTTGTTGAAAACAGCGCGCGGTCGCTATAATTTTATATCTTATGTTATTATATTTGTATTTTATTTTATTTTGTTCTATTCGATTTATTTTAATTCGTTCAGTTTATGCATGTAATGGATTAGTTATATTATTTATATTTTTTATTTCGATTTTAAAAATGTTCGAACTGTTTTAAATTCGAATTTGTTATTACATATTGGTTCGATTATAGAATGATTGTAAACGTTCCAGTAAACTGATAATCCGATGATGGTCTGTTGATCAGGTTGAAAACGTTAGTTAAAGTAGTAAAAATGATTCTCAGCAATAAGGTGCATATGTTGTATAAAACTGCTTACAATCAAGAAATGCTTTGAATTGAGTTGAAAATTTAAAGAAAAAAATGAAAGATCAAACTTCCAACTTGGAAATTTTCGTTTTTTAAATAAAACATAATACAAAATACGGTATTATTGTAAATTTTTACAATAAGATTTTAAAAAGCAAAGATGGCGATACTCCGATCACTCAATTTGAGTCTTATTTTACTAAAGTCCTGCTACCGAGAATGCGCTTATTCGATTCATGTAGTTGGAATTGTATTTAATGCATTTAAGAGAAAAAGATGTTATGTGTTTTTTCATATGTAGCTTGAAAGATCTCTAGTTAGTTTTCGAGATGGCGTTACAATATTTCTTCTGCCGTCTAGTATTCTTTCTTTCTTCTTCTTCTCAGATGTTGATATGGAGATTTTAGCTCATATAGGCTCTTTCTCCGACAGACATATGGTTATGATTGCTATGCGACCGAAGAGCCAGCCTTATCCGAACGGCCTATATGCGCACGCGGGAAATAATGCCTTCCGGGAGAACTTTTATGAGGAACTGGCCTCCTATTCAGTCGTTATTGGCAAGGAGAAAACCTGGAAAACTCCAAGCAGCCAGCCTGTCCAATCGCGGCGCGAACCCACGACTGAACTTCCCAGTGTTTAGGGTCTGGTTACCGCTATGAGCGGCAACGGAGACCACTCGCCCACTGGTGGGTCCCAGTGTTTAGGGTCTGGTCACCGCTATGAGCGGCAACGGAGACCACTCGCCCACTGGTGGGGGCCATATTCTTGATTTGTCTACCTCGTCTGCTTTAATAGCGGCATCGAGCTTATAGCCCGATAATTCGACAGTTCGTTTGGCTTTAATAAGTTTATGAAGAAAAACTTCATACTTGCATACTTCGTATTCGTTTGTATCTTGCCCAATTTGCATAACCTGGATTTTTCAGTTATTGAAGCTACAATTATTCCAGATATTACAGGTCCTGACAAGAACCTGTCACAAATAGGCTACGTATTGATTATTAACAATCTGTGACATGCCATAATAAGCAAAAATTTAAAAAACTAATAAGCGGGCTTAAAATTAATAAATACAAATGTACCCTGACGGTTTATGGGTTAAAATATTATTTATTCGATTTTTTTCAGTTGCTTGAGTTCCGGTTAACGGAGAGTCTACTGTATTAATGTTTTAAATATTTTTTTTTATAAATTAATTTTCAGAGTGACGAAGTTTTTAAATTGTCAATTCATATCCCGTCTAATTTGCCCACTTGCTTTGGAACTTATGCTCGTAAGCTGATAAAATGGCTAGCATTTTAAGTACTTCCAACCTACCTAAAATATTACTTGCCATATCACAAGTAAGTTTTAATTTTTTAAATTTTTAATTAAAAAACTGTTAGAGATTTAAATTGATTTTAAAAGCAAATTCGAAAACGCAGAAAGTTTTATTAACTTAAAATTCGTCGTGTGAAAATTTGCAGTTAATAAAAATAATAATCTCATAATAATTAGAGGAAATTAAATATATATTTTATAAGATTAATTAATTTGTCACTGATATTATTTCAAAAATCAGCTTGATATTTCACAATTTCATAAAATTTAAATAGTTATCTCTACCTAGAATATTTACAATATATAATTTATAATATATGTATTTTAATTTTGAAACAATTTTTAACAGTTGATAAATATAACTCTTTTTGGACTAATTATTTCGATCCTAATTCATCCTCTCCTGATATATTACCTTGACGCTAATGGAAAATATGGTAAAGCAGACTTTTGTTGTTATGCATTCCTTGCAAGTTTATATATTGCAATAGCTTTTGTAATTGTTTCATTAATTCATACTATTTGTGGAATAATCGGAAGTATCGAATGTAACAAGATAAAAAATTCGGTAAGTTTATATTAATTAATTTAACTTTAAAATTTTTAATTCAATAGTATACAGGGTGTATACAAAAGCATTGCACCAGGCGATATCTTGGTTCGGCTGCGTATTAACTAAATACAAGTGCAAAAATTATAGATAATAGGAATTTGCTGGCATAGTCATTACAAGGCTTTGATCGTAGGAGGATTGAAATATTTCTTGAGTATTATAACCAATAGAAGTCGCGTTGTTCCAATATTGAAACTGTACTTTAAACTGAGCCGCTATCTTTTATAGGAGCCGAAAGCCGAAATAGGATTTGGCTCTATGAGAATGTGATAGAGGGTGCGTGACAAATATGCCATCAAATACCGATTATCTGTACTTTCGCCCTTGTATTTATCTAATATGTAGCAGAAGCAAATATAGCCTTTAATGTTTTTGTTTATACCTTGTAAAATATTATACACTATACATTTGAAACACAAATTCTTACTGAAGCAACTCGTTAAAATAGCATGTGCTATAATATACCAGTATTTTATATTATTTAAAAATTTTAAATATAAATTTTTTAATAATTTAAATAAATATTTTAAATTACAGTATATTTACAATACTTAAAATAAACAGAAAAAATAATTTAATTAAATTCATAAAAGTTCTAATTGTTTAATATAGGCCTATTTAAGAAAATCTAAGAAAATTAAAGAAATTAATTATAATTAATTGAAAATTAAATGCAATTTAAGAAAATTAACAATATTTATGTTTATTTACAAATTTAAATTAATCTGTAATTTCAAACAAACAACAAACAATTGATTTTAATTCGACTTTAAATATTTCAATAATAGAGGAGAAGGTGGTATTATGGAACCCCATTTTCATTTTAGTGAATTGTAAACAAGGTATCATAACTACACAACACTTTTTTTTTTTTTTGCGAAAAGTACTGGTAAATAGTAAACTAAATGTTCCTAATTGGATTTTTCGCTAGTGTAACTATAAGTATGGTTTTTGAAGGCTTTTGTACAAAAAGTCAGAAAAAGTAGGCTTAGAGAAAATCGGGTGGTAATATGGAACCTTACTGCATGTTTTCAAAAAATGCTTTAATGTATCCAAAAACAAATAGGAAAGGACAAAAAATGTTAAATAATTACAAAATTATTTACTCCAATGTATTTTATCGAAAAAATGCTTTTATAATAGAAAAATATGATTTCCATCAACAATATATATTCCAGCAGCTCTTTTTCAAGATTCTCAGGAAGAATTGGCTTTCTACCTAGTGTCTTTTTCACAAATTGCTCTGGACGAATGTCTGCTTGCAAATAGAGAGTTCGGAGGAGTTGGGTTTCATATTAAAAGCACCAATGGGGTCCGTATTTCACGCATCGCCATCTTGAATTAACTTATGTCTGTCAAGACCAAATTTTAAAAAACGTGAACATCACACAGATTAATATGTACCCCCAAGTCTCTGGAACAGAATACATGCATCAGTGAACCTACAACTACACGATTTATATCTTAGAAATAATTAAATTCACTTAGCATTCAAAACTTTCGAATTTCGAAAAACACAAATATGCTAATTCACTACGGACAACCGTTTAACTGAAGTGAAACGGGTTTTCCCCTTGCTATGGATGTCTTCCCAGTGCAGTTCAGCCAAAATCCGCTACAGTTCGCCTTTATTATCAGTTCGAAATGGAGTGGTTTCATAATTCCGCAGTGTTCCATAATATCCCTGTTTCCTCTATATTATTTATATCGATAAATTTTCTAATTTATAATTAAATATTTTTAGATGCTGTTTGGTTTTGCGCTATTAATTATCTTAAATTTGTCTGCAATAATTTCCATTGCCGTAGAAAACGATTTAATGGTAAGCTATGTTAAATATTGATGTTAATACGGTTAAATTTCGATATAGCGCCATCTTAAAAAGCGCAACTCTCGTAAAGTACGAAAGAATACTTACAGTATGAGTGTAACTTTGCTTAAATATTACAGAAGTCTTCCATGTTTATGAATTGCTAAATGTACGATTTTGCATTGCAAACGTCATTTTTATCACCAACTTTCAAACTTCTAAACTGAAAGTTTTTAAATATAATTCTTGTTTAGTGAGATACTTTAATTTAGCTCCAAATTCGGTTAAGTGCTAATTGCAGAAGCAAACAACAATTGCGCTAAATCGAAGTTTGGCTTTATACACGTTGAAGGCTTTGGGTTATGAGAAGTCCTTCAGAAAGCATGGACTTTCCAGTCTGTTTGTAAAATTTAAATATATAATGTGAATTTCTTTTAGAGAATTGTATATAAACGACTAGTTTGATATGGAATTCTGGATCGAATTTATTCGAAAAACTGTAGTCTTCACTCAAATAGTAAGCGCATCTCGTTCTTAAAGCTTGAAATATTAACCTCCCCAGAATATAAACCGCGACTATTATTTAAGGATTTCAGAAAACTTGGGGAAACAACATAAAATTAATAAATACCATAACCTATGAAAGTATCGTATTTACTTTCCTCGTGGCAATAAATATATGGGCTAGTTTCTATTAGAAAGTCCTCCTGGAAGGCAGCTCCGTCGGCACAGCGCCCGCGAGTTTGTATACGCGTTGCGGTATACAAACAATAACTACTTTCAATAAATTTACGTGCACTCCATTTGTAGTTGCTATAAATGGTAAGAAAACCAGACTCGTTTGCATCTAAACGAATCTCGTTTAATAAATAAAGTACTTTACTTGAGTTATGGTTTACACACAAAAAAATTGGCTAAACCACTGTAACAGGCGCCTTCATATATGCCTGAAAGCATTACTCTTCTGAAAAATCGGAGGCAATAAATTTATGTGCACCCAGCTCGATTGGACATTAAAATTTTTTGTTGCTTTGTGTATTGCTCAGTCGGCAATATGCAAACGAAGGGACTATAAAATCTTGTGTAGTCTCTGCACTGTTCAAAACGAAAAAAATGCATGATAGAGATTAAGACTGATTAGATTAGTATGGCGTAAGGTCCTCCAGAAACAACAAAATGGAACAACAATAAGACAGATTGCTCTGGAATTGTGTTTGAACGAGTCTACTGTCAGATCCTTTCTCATACGCTATGAAGGAAACGGTTCTGTGGCCCCTGGATGCAGTAATGTCAGACCGCAAACGATTACTGTCAGGGAAGATCGTATTTTGCGTTGACTTGTCATGAAATTCCGATCTGGTACATTCGTGGAAGTTGCAGAACTGTGGAGCTAACAAATAGGCCGATCTGTATATCCACAAAGTGCTAGCAAGAGATTATGTGACAAGGATTACGTTCGTACAAGAATAAGCGAAAGCCCATGTTTACGCCAGTGCAGAAAAAGAAGCAGTTTGCATGGGCTAGGGATCACCTATCTTGGACGGAAGCTCAATGGCGGAGGGTGATTTGGTCTGACGAGTCATCCTTTCCAGTCCTACATGGGAATATCGGACGTAGAGTCATTCGCCGACCGAACGAAAGACTTACCCAAAACTATGTTAAGCAGGAAGTCAAGTTTCCAAGCACGGTTCAAGTGTGGGGATGTTTTGGATATTCAGGCATTGGTGAGTTTTTCCTTTGTGATGGGATTGTCAACGCACAATTCTATCTGGCAATTTTTCAACAGTATTTACTGAATTCCATAGACCATCTTCGGCTGCAGGGAGATGTGATCTTTCAGCAAGATCTCGCTAAGCCGCATACTTTGTGCTCCACTAGTGTTGGTTTCACCAAAATTGAGTCCAAGTTTTGGGTCCCAAATTCACCCGATCTCAACCCAATCGAGGACCTTTGGCGTGGTGCAAAAACGTAAGCCTCGAACAAACAGATCGGTTGAAGACTGTTCTTTAGGAAGTGTGGACCAACATTCCACATGACCTTTGCTGTGCCGTCGTCACATCGATGCCTAGGAGAGTTGCCGACGTATATGGCTGCAAAAGTAGGACCTACTAAGTGATAATTGTATGAGCGTAAATTTATTTCCTCTCCGATTTTTTTGGAGTAGTAATGCCTTCAGGCATATATGAAGGTAATTGAACCAATTTATTTTGTAAACCTTAGGTCAAGTAGGGTACTTTATTTATTAAACGAGATTCGTTTTAAATGCAAACGAGTCTGGTTTCTTACCATTTATAGCAACCGCAAATGGGATGCACTTATATTTATTGAAAGTACAGTAGAACCTCGATTATCCGGACTAATTGGGGATGAAGGTAGTCCGGATAAGGAAAAATCCGGATAATCGAAACAAATACTTTAATTTGTCTTTTAATGATAATACAACACGTTTTCTTTTCGATGACATATCGGTAATATTAAAAGTAAATACTGTATTTTAATAGTGATTAAATTTTCAAGAAACAAACGTTCGTATTGAATTTGTACTACTACTGACCAACGCTAACAGACTAGCTATTGTTAAAAGGCCCTCGGGTGGCGCAAGAAGACGGATTTTATAAAATAAAAAGCAGTTGAAACTGCATTTTTATGAATAAAAATTTGATACACTATTTATCGTTTTATGACGAGTAAAATTTTTTCGTCGCGTTCACGGCTTTTAAGTAATGCATAAACCTTCGAGGCGCGAGGCCCTTCGGACCGCGAGGCATAGGCGGTGGCCCACGTCGTCCATGCCTTACGCCGCCCTTGGTCATAGAAATGATGTAATTTGAATATAAATTATTTATAAATACGTATGTTAAGTTACATTTTTATTACGACGTAAAATATATTTAAGAGTTTACGACCACTGTGCTGGGTGAGATGTTGTTGAAACAAAAAAAATTATGCATTCCATCACGTACATAAACAGTGTCGTAATTCGCCAAGTGCAAATCAGCAAATTCGTAAAATATTTGTTTATTTTGAACAATCCGGATAATCGAAAATCCGGATAATGGAGGTCCGGATAATGGAGGTTCTACTGTACTTATTGTTTGTATACGGCAACGCGACTCGAGGGCGCTGTGCCGAGAGAGCTGTCTTCCAGGAGGACTTGCTATTGGAAACTAACCCCTATTTAGGTGTTAAAAATGTGAATAAAACCGAAAAACGCACGTCGTATTTAGTTAACAAACAAACTTTAATAGAAAATGAAATATGTAAAATGTAAATTATTATATACAATTAAGTGTATTTTTAAGGCCTATCAATATTATTATTGGTGTATAAAAAGTGACACTCGTTATAAAGAAAGATATCAGTTGCATTTCAAGTAAAATTTACTTTAAAAATCACACTTTTATCAATACATCTTTAAATACTGCACTAATAACAGACATGAAATAGGTTTGCTATATACGGAAATAAAATAATAACCGCCCACCAATAGTAACCACAAAGAAAATTGCAACTTGAAATAGGACTCGCGGAAATTATTTGAATAAAATCGGTACATATTTGTGCGTATTTGAGCCCTTTAAAGCACCAGGTCCTAGGCAAAATCTAGGTTGCCTATGCGTTAAACTTCCACTGAGTCCTGTACAATTTAATAGTCATATAAAAAAATCATTAATGTAAAAATTCAAATAATTCAATATTTACAAATTTCAATATTCATTCAATATTTACAAATATTGAATGAGTAGTTCGTAATAAATACACAAAATAATTAAGATCGCAACTCATATCATACATTTATGTTGATAATAAAGGTAAATATTAATTAATTGTTGATTATAAATAATTTTACTCAACTAATTAATATCTTTCTAAATAAACTATTTAAACTATATAAACTGTGGAAGTTACATTGCATCTTTTGTTTTTTTGCAAATTCGTTGTTTGTTAGTTATTGTTGTTTATGTCATTGATATTACTTGTAAATATTATTTTTCGAAATAGTGATCTGTAATGCTGTAATATAAACAGAACAATTAGTTATACCAATTATTTTTGCAGCAAAATAATGTTTTGTATGGTAATGTGGAATAATGCCAGACTCTCCATACTAAATTATAATTATAATTTACGATAGATCGTAGTAGACTTATAGTTGTAATTGATATCAGATATTTTATCATATTTATTGTCATTCTGGCATGTTTGATTTTGATTTGTTTTAAATTTTGGATGAGGAAGGACACAGAAATACGAAATGTATACAAAGATAATATTAGTGTAATGTAAACTATACTAATACAGTAGAGCATCGTTTATCCGAAAGTCGGTCATCCGAAACGTCGGTTATCCGAAAGAATTCCAGTCGGCAAATTTTTATTTTCGCTAGTGCTGTGGCTCTGCAATCTTTGGCTATATCTTGGGCTACTCCAATATTTTTTATGTTTGTGTGTGTTTTAGCTGGCAGCACTGTCACTTTTGTGTGGTGTTTTTTTGAGGACTGTGTGTCATGCTGAATGGAACGTTTTGATACTAGATAACTTCTAAAGTATAATTTTTTTTTGTTTTTATATTTTTCAATATATTTATTTCGTTTGTAAAAAATAAAGAAATAATTTTTAACGATACAATAGCCAAGATTATTATTTTAAAAAGTTTACGTTAGGCTTAACATCGACGAAAATTCAACGCGAAGTGACACGCAACGGAGAAAAATTTCAACACGGGATAGGTTAATATATTTTTTCGTGCATAATCGGTTATCAGAAAAATAAGTTATCCGAATAACCCCAGTCCCCAATTGATTCGGATAAACGACGCTGTACTGTATTATAAAAAGGTAAAGTTTGTAAGTTTGGATGTAGGGGGTAATATCCGAAACTACTCATCCGATTTGAAAAATCCTTTCACCAATATTTAGAATGGAACTTCAGGGTGGACATAGGCTGTATATTATTCCGGTAAACATCTATATAAATTAAAAGATATCATCTAGGGTTAAGGCTTTTATGTCCAACAGATGGCGCTAAGACTATGATGCCCTAAGTTTGCTTTTCTGTGAGGATGAACTAAAGCAGATCATCTTCTATCTATCTATATAAATAAAAATGTAATGTTTGTTCCTACCGATTCCTTTGAAATTTTGACACAACACTGCATTCGAATACGCACGTGTTTTTATATAACAGGGGTGGCCAACCTGCGGCTCTTTGAATGATTATTTGTGGCTCTCGATAAATGAACCCGAGTTCCCTTTTCATTTTTGTGTTATTATATTTTAAAAAAATTATTATTGTTCCGTATGTGTTTCAAAATGTCTTTTAAATTACTAACAACAAATATGAAAGATTAAGTGCAACGTTGTAACAAATTTCATTTCCGTCCAAGTTAAGAATGATATGACTCATGGAAAACTGCGCGAATAAACATAAACAGTGGCATAATCGTCCGTTATCGACCGACTCCAGACCGATTTTGAATTTGTAAACTGTCATTGCAATGGACAGCTGACATTGTGCTCTGGAAGAAACAATTTGTATCACTCTTGCTACGGATATAATCTGTAATCTGGAATTTTTTGCATACCTTTTTAATACGTATTTAATTGCGGCTCGCGAAAAATTTCAAATTTTGAAAAATGGCTCGGACTGTCAGGAAGCTTGGCCACCCTGGTTATATAATATACGTGTCGAAATCCCCCCCCCACTGGAGAGAGATGGACAGGATTAAGGCTTACCGTGAAGAACTCTGCTTCTATTTATACTATTTTAGATGCGGTTTTTTGCGTTTTTGATTGTGTTTTAATAGGTTACGTCAACAGAATGTACACTGAGAAAACATTTTTCGAAAAATTCCACCCCCACCACGGGGGAAGTGCTATACATTTATAATAGATACATTTTGAGCCACAACAACGCATGGCAGGGTCAGCTAGTTTAAAATAAATTTGTATGCCTAATATCTGTATTTATTAATCTATGTCAGTTTTCAATGTGATAAGCTCGTACTCTGATAGCCAGGAATTTATACACTTTAAGGTAAAATACTGAATAGTCGTAAAAGCTATAAACAAATAGTGTGGTTGATATTACAGGATGATCTCAATTTAGTCTATAACCACTTACTATTGAGACCTGGTGGATAATTATTGCTTTTAGAAAGATGTTTTATTCAGTAACATATTTCTTTTTACAATAATAATTGTAATTGATAACTATCACTTATTAAGGTAAAAGCTAATTGTCATTGTGATTAGTGTACTTCAGTGATCGAGCAACAACTGATGAAGTGAGTCCTAAATGAACGAGAAGTAGCCCTAAATGTATATTGCTCGAAAGAATGAGTGTTGCACATTAAAAAAGTTAAATAAAAATATTTTTGAAATCTGATATAGATAAACTGAAATGCAGATTGTTTCACAGCATAGCCATTGTGTTTCGTATTGTCAATTTATTATATTATATTTAAACTCTTCCTGAACATATAAAAAGTTATTTGTTTTCTGCCATGATATTGAGAATGATAATATTTGTACTCATATAAAATTTTGCTAAGTTTAACAACTTAGGCACTCTGAAACGGAGTGATGTCTTTTGATCGGTACCATATGGGTCTTAAGAAATAAATTACTTGAAAATTTATTTTGATTTTTTATAGATATATAGTATTACTTATTTTTACAAAATAAAGAACAATGGCTACTGTTAAATGTTTTATATTACAATAATGCGTAAAAAATCAAATTGTGCAATGATCCGGATCCGGGCCCCTGTGAATCCCGGACTCAGGGAATTTTATCTTCCATCTCGTCGGCCCTGAATACCAGAAGAGTCGAACTCCATCTGCAAATATGAAAATTATTTAAAAGTCTTTCTGGCATCAGATTTTTTTTTATTTTAAAAAAAAAAATTTATTACTTTTTTTAGAAAAGTAACCGATTACATCAGACTAATATTGCTAATTTTTAGCGTCTTATTAAGAAAAATAGATAATGAAAGACTGAATTCGCTAATGTTAATAGGAACAAAAACGAACAGTTCTAGATTTGGTCGCTAAGTGATATTATAGATATGCTTCACTTTCTATTTAGTGTCTTCTATCAGTGCTACTTTGCTGCGTTTTCTGCTGTATGATATTTAAACAAGTACCTACAACAAGTTGGAATGGCGTTATTCTAACTTGTAATATTTTACCTTCAACTTCGTTAACAAAGTTCTGCGTAGTGTTAAAGAACCTATAGAAGTTACTGTAATCAAACCAGTTATAACAAGCTTCTTGATATAAAGTTTATTTATTATTTAATAAAATATAAGAACACACATTACTTCATAATTTTAAAACATCAATAGTAAATTAAAAGTTTACAAAGTACTTAATGGATGATTTTATATCTTATTAAGTTATATGTAAATTATTGCTTGAATTTAGACGTATTGTTCTATGGAACTCTAATATACTTTTTGATAGTAGGTGTGCCCGTATTAAAAATTTTATGTAAACATGGCATCAAATTGTTGATTCTCTATCCACAAATGAAATCTGTAATGACGCCGTAAACACATGTAATGACACCGTAAACATAGCTTTATTTATCATGAAGATAAAAAATTATTTAAAGTTAGAACAACGCTTTCCATCGTGCTGAAGGTATTATTTAGAGATTACACACCGCGAAACATGACTATACAACACTGATAGAAGAAGTAGGTACTGATAGAAAACAGGAAAGTGACACATACTTAGAACATTGCCTAGCGACTATATCTTGACTGTTCGTTTTTGTCCCTATTGTGCTTGGAATAGTTGTGAGTAGACGCTTAGAAGACTTCAGAATGTTTTTGATATTTAATTTTCAAATTTGCAATTTTTACCAATACGACCCGTCCAGAATTTTTTAAAATTTTATTTTTACAGAAACAATTTCTAATATTATTTTGTTTTTACAAACTTATAATATTAAATAATATATAAATTGTTAAATAATTATATTTAATATACTGTACTTAATTTACTTAATATTTAATAACTTATTTATAATAATAATTTGTTGAAATTATCATTAATTAAAAAAATTAATACTACATGTAAAATATACTAGTTTGAATATATATATAGTTATTACTACAAATTATTTAAATTATTTCAGAATGAAAAGCAATTAAGCGATGTAACACATGAAGAAATAAATAATTACATCTTTTTTAACCATTCTATCTTTTTGGATACTTTGCATACTCAGGTCAGTCTTATTTTTTATTTTTTGGCATCTTTTCCGCCCTGTGGACACCAACAGGGTTTATCTTTCATACTCATCGTAGGTTCGAATGGGCTTACAATGGACCGGCTGGGTGGTAAATGGTAAGGGCGGAACTCGATATATTCGGGACAAATATCCATTTAGATTGCTGGGGTTTCTCGCCCAGATTCGATCCCGGGTTTCTCAAAGTGGTAGGCTGGAGCCTTAATCGGCTAGTGGTTAGTTAATATTCTTAGTTTATCGACTGAAATGCTCATAAACTAAGAATATAGACTATATTTATATTTATAGACTTATATTGAAGGTTTCACGTCAATATATTTTTGTACTTTTTTTTTATTAAACTCTATTAATAATTAATACTACTACTCAAGATTTAAAAATAATTATTAAATTTGGTTAGAAATACGATAAGTGTTTTTAATTTAAAATTTTGACAACCAATTCACATTTGAAAATATTTCTTTATTATTGTACCGAACAAATACACCACAATCTCACTCGATACTTTTGACACCACAACCTCTGCTTGATAAAATGAAATAAAATAAGTCCTAGGACTACGTAATCCTATACTAATTAAAAACTACTCAAATTGATAAATATATGCGTATATTAAATAAGCGGAGGAAAACTTTCCACCAACTATAATAAAATGCAAGTTGAAATCATGTCGCAAATAAACAAATGGTTGAAAATAATTAACATACCAGCTCTGTACTCTTTAAGCCACCATGCAGTTAACGTTTACCTAACATTAGAGAAATGATATAAAAAGTTTAAAATCTATAAAATATATTGACATTAAGTATATAAGTAAATTAAAATGTAGATAAATTTAATTAATGTTAATGATAAATAATATAATACGAATGTTTGACGAAAACAGTTAAAATTCCGGCTTTCCAAAAATGACTGCTTGTAATAGGTAGAGGCCTCATATACTCAGAAGTTGCAAATGGTAGTAGTTGATGCCATGTTTAGGCCAGAATACCGCAATACGATGGTATAAATCGTATGTCTCGGTATGTCTCTGGTAGATATATTTTCACATTTTTATTCACAAAAAACTTTCGAATTTTCGAAACGTAATTATAGGCTAATTACTAAATTTTATATTACATGAAATTTCTAGTAAACGTTAATGGATAAACAAAACTTATCTATCAAATATATTTTAAATTTCAATTTATATCAACAGTTAAATTTATTTTACATTTAATAAATATTTTAGTGAATTTTCATATAAACTGTATTGTTTTTAACAAGAATGGCTGTGTTAACTGAGACATTTTAATTCGCTATATGTTGACTTTTTTAATCAAATCATATAAAATAATAGTCAATAAATCATTTTATAAAATAGTCATTTTACACTTGCAACGAGTTCTCTCATTGCTACACTTTTACTGGCTTTAGAACCACTTTTTGAAAGTTTTTTTAGTTTATGGTTTCATTCGAAAAAATGACAAAATTACTTAAAATTTCGTTTTTAACATCATGATAATTTAGAAGGTAATACTTATTTTAAATTATAAATTTGAAGTTTTGGCAATTATATACTTTGCAAAAGGAAATATTTTTCATTTACATAATTGATGACGTTTACAAAAATATTTTTCACACATTAAAAGCATTTCGTAAACTACTGGTACAACTTTAACTACATAGTTTTCTTTAGAATTTCTTAATGCATTTAATCTGAAATATTTAGTATTTAAATTATCTGTACTGTGTAATATATCGTAACGTTTCTCACATACTTGTTTTATTTTATTTTATTTTTTATTTATTTTTGATGAAATATAACCACAGATATGGTATAACGTATTTTTTTCTGGCATTGATAACTCTAAACTTTGATTCTAATTTTTTAAAGATTCTTCTGCAATAGAACTGAATGTCTTAAAACGTTCATTGTCCCGAAGACCATTTCTTTCTTTTAAACTGTGTGAATAATTTAAAAATTCTCCTAAATATTATCCATTATCATCTTCATAATTGGTTCTTGTCACAGGGTTTTAATATACTGAACAATAAAAATTAGTTTCAACGTAAATAATGAGTTTTTTTTTTATCGGTTGCAAAAGCCTTTCCTGCACTCACAGAATACATCCGGGAAAAACACCGGCGTCCCTTTTTGTGTGGGGCCGTTGTAACCGGAAGTGACGTCACGAACACATAAAGATATGATTCTTTTGACTTTTTGCTTGTCTTGGGAGTCTAAAATTCTGGGGATTCCAATTGCATCATTTAATCCTACGTAGATGCCATTTCTTTTCATGTCAAGTCAACACTAATAAAAACATTTTAATTCATAATTGATAAAATTTTTCCAAATTTTTCCAAAAATATAAAGAAGTATCTAATTCATGGAAAAAGAGAATAAAAATGATAAATTATATGTAGAGGAAAAGGTGGTATTATGAAACCCTGCAGACATTATGGAACCTCTCCATTTCAAACTGATAATAAAGGCGAACTGTAGGGGATTTTGGCTGAACTGCACTAGGCAGACATTTATAGCAAGGGGAAAACCCGTTTCACTTCAGTTAAACGGTTGTCCGTAGTGAATTAGCATATTTGTGTTTTTCGAAATTTGAAAATTTTGAATGCTAAGTGAATTTAATTATTTCTAAAATACAAATCGTGTAGTTGTAGGTTTACTGGTGCATGTATTCCGTTCCAGAGACTTAGGGGTACTTAATCTATGTGATGTTCACGTTTTTTAAAGTTTGGTCTTGACAGACATAAGTTAATTCAAGATGGCGATGCGTGAAATACGGACCCTCATTGGTGCTTTTAATATGAAACCCGTCTAACTTTTGTAAAAGTACTGTATGTGGTAGATGAATGAAAAAATAGAAGGAAAATGAAAAAAAGTAAAAATAGATACCTAACACTATAGGAGCATTATATTTGTGATTTTTGTAAATGATTAGCTTCTTTTTTGTACATTTCTCTATTATTAGTATTATTAAATCATTTTTGCGATAAAATACATTGGAGTAAATAATTTTGTAATTATTTAACATTCTTTGTACTTTCCTATTTGTTTTTGGATACATTAAAGCACTTTTTGAAAACATACATTAAGGTTCAATATTACCACCCGGTTTCCACTAAGCCTACTTTTTGACTTTTTGTACAGAAGCCTTCAAAAACCATACTTATAGTTACACGCGCAAAAGGGAGAAGAAGAAGAAGGAAGAAAAAAAAAAACCAGACGAAAGAGAACTTTTAAAATCAGAATTCGCTCTCGCGATGCCATTTATGCAGAAGAGGGAAACAGAGTTCTCTCGCATGTAATGCGAGAAATGCACGAGCTTCCATCATTCTTGAAAGTTCTACCTATTGAGCTTTCTCGCATATTTCTCTCTCTTTTCCTGCGTTGGCGCAGGCCAGCATTTCGATAGCCTTGCTTCCGCTCAACGAAGTCAATAAAATGGCGACGATGGAGCACGGCAATCTGTGGAAAGTGAAGAAAATGGTCCTGGAAGTCGCGAAAAATACAGGGATGCCATAAATAACAGGAAGAAAATGTTAATAGAATAGTTTCGTTTATTTTTTTAAACTCTACTTCATGATATTTTCTTCATCGGACTTTTCTTTTCCGCTTTTGCATGAACACAGCTTAAAACACAAAAATTAAGCGAAAATTATGAAATTAATATAGGCTAAATAAAAAACTATTTTAATTACAATGCTCTCAATAGAACCATTTTCAATTTTTGTATACTTTTAGTAACCTTACTAACATTCTCTAATTCTGTTCGTTGAAGTGAATATAAGAATCATTTGGTAGAGAATAAATAAACAAATTTATTTAATGTAAAACTCCAATAATAATTTATTTCTTTGAATAATAAATAGTTTGATTGTTGCGGAGTATCTGGTTGGAAAGATTTCGTTATAGAAACTGAAAATCTAACACCAAAATCATGTGTAAGTGAATATTATCTTCATAATGTTTATTTTTCGTTCTTATTCATTTATAAATTTTGAAATTCTCAGAGTTTTTCTTATTAAATATTTCATACATTTCTTTTCCATAATTTTAAGATTATATATATTTAATTAAAGTTTTTAATAAGTTTTATTATTAAATTTTTTTAGAGAGAGCCTCATCTAAATACTGGATGCATTACAGATTTAACTTCTTTTATCAAAACTAAACGCAATGTTTTAGTTTCGTTTTACGTTTTATTTATAATTTTCCAGGTAATATCTTTTACGATTAATATCGTAAAAATCATTTAAATTATAAGATTAAAAAATTAAGCTAATTACACGTTTTTAAGTTTTATTCTGATTAATTGAAATACAATAATTTAAAATGTTTCATGTAGAATGAAAAGAACTAGTCGTATTTTATTATAAGATAATAATGCATTTATTTTAATAAAATTTCAGATAATCAGTTTGATATCAGTATTATATCCCGGATTCAAACTTAAAAGAAAAACTAAATCGGAAAACAATGAGCTTCAAAACCAAACTAATAATTCATAAGAAAGTATTTTCAGTTTGTTTAACAAGAGATTTAAAAATTACACCTAATATTTTATGACTTATCATTTTTATGTTTATATAATTCTGAAATTAATTATTATGTAATTCATTTATCATTTGGAAAACTCGTGTATTTCTGGAACAAAAATAAACGTTTTAAACAAAGTAAGTTGTTAAATGATTAAGTTTTTACTACAAAGACCTCCTGGGCGAAATTACGTCGTTGTGATACTAAAAGTTAAAAGATATAAAGCCAAAATCATGAAAACGTTTAAAAAATATGCAATATGTATAAAAGCCAACTAATATGGTCGGTGTTCAGATTGGCTCATTGACCTTGTCGTCCTTATTTTATTGAGCAACCATTTCCAATTTAATAGAAAATATTATACTAAAAAATCTGGCATACCTATGGGGTTCATTATTTGGCCCTACATTAGCTGAACATATTATCGATATCGATACATCCATTAATAATATCCATGGCATCAAATTCTTCAACAGTTATGTTGACGATTGTTTTATAATCTATGACCCTGTAATCTTAAAAAGTAATGACTTGGTTACAACTGTTAATGGCCTTGATAACAACATTAAATTTTAAGTTGAGACCAACTTCACAATACATTCCTGGATGTTTTAGTTACTAGACATTCTAATACCCTTGAAATAGAAAATTACAAAAAATCATGTAACGTTAATAAAGTCTTGGACTACCACTCACATACTCCCTTGTTCATAAAAAGAAACTTTTTGTCAATTTCATAAAAAAGATATTTATTAATAGAACTACCTCTGATTATAAAAATAATATTGAGATCACATACATTGTTAAGACCTTCTTATTAAATAATTACCCAAAAGTACTCGTACTTCTAGACAAATGGATAAAACAACTTAAGTGTAATAATAACACCAATGTCCATACTGCTAATCCCGTTAACAACAATGATACAAAAAAGTTCTTTGAACTTACGTATGTCAAAAATATGTTTGAGAAAATTAAAATGGTCTTAAAACAGTACCAACATCAATTTATTCCCTGACCTTTGTAATAAAACCCCAAAATACATCCAACCAAACCACCCAAACAATATGGTTAATGTCTTTTAAAAAAGCAATGTGATATACAGGTTTAACTGCAACTATAATAATCATGTGACCTATGTAGGTGAAAGAAAAAGATGTCTCGAAGTTCGTATAAAAGAACACATAAACGCCATCAAATACAATTCTGAATATTCTGCAGTTGCTAAACACTGAAATCTATATATATATATGTGAAATAGATAAAAGTACAATAAAAGCACTAAAATTCAAAACTAACACTTATAAACGTAAATATTTTGAACATATAGAGATTTTAAAAATTAATCAATCAATATATATTATAAACGTAAGTGTACAATGTGAGTGCCGCTAAAACTGAAAAACGAGTTCCGATACGATCAAGGGAGTTATATGGTGTGGTAGTTCTCTATCCCCCATCCATGAAGACGGTTCCCGTTTTTACCTGAAGGACGTGCTGTTGAAGATATAAGGGCTGGAAGTTTTGCCCTCTAGAAATTTCTAGAACAGTCCAGAACATTCGAGAGTATTCGAGAGCATTCCACAACATTCCAGATCGTTCCGGGATGTTCTGGAACGTTCGGGAACATTCCAGATCATTGTGGAACATTCCAGAACACTCTCGAATGTTGTGGAATGTTCTGGAACATTGTGGACCATTCGAAGCTTTTCTTGTATGGGTGGGACTACCCATTGGTGGGGGGTATATAAAGCAAGATCCGTCGTGGGTTCGAACGTCAGTTTCTTATCAGTGACGAAGGGAAGAACCGAAAAAGAAGTGAAAATTCTGTTATTAGAAACGTTTAGAACGTTCGAAATTTTCGACAAACACTTCCAGTTATCTTCAATTCAACACCAGCAGACGAGATCAATGCATGGTTAAAAAATCACATCTCTGGCCACATATACAAATACTGCGACTAACAAAAATATGAGAGTTGAACTGTCGAAAGACGAAACAATACAGCACATTTTACTCAAAAACTTTTACAAATAGGCGAAGGCACATATCCCACTGACCAGACGACCGGCCTCATGAACTCAACAGTGATTTTTTTCAACATAGCCACTACTGAAAACGAACTCATCGACCAAATTTATCCAAACATTGTTCACAACTATACCAATCCGGAGTGGCTATTTCAAAGGGCAACTTTGGCAACTAAAAATAATATTGTCGACGATATCAACTTTAATATTCAAAAGAAAATTCCCGGCGAGGAGATAATATACAAATCGATCGACACGATGGTAAACGTTGAAGAAAGTCAACTTCCCTACAGAATTTCTAAACTGTTTGCAAGTACCAGAAATTCCATTACACTGCCTTCGACTGAAAATTGGATCTCCGATCATACTACTCAGAAATCTGAACTTACTAAAACTATGTAATGGAACAAGGATGATCGTCAAACAGATATCGAATAACATCATCGAAGCCGAACTTATGACTGGAAAGGACAAAGGACACAAAGTATTTATTCACAGAATACCACTGATCTCTACTGAACTGCCATTCCAATTTAAAAGACTGCTAATAAACTTCACTTCTAATACGGGAAGGTAATATAATTCTCTCCACTTGAATAAAAACCTTTCAATCTCCAGTGTTATTCTTCTTGGCAAACGTTTTCAACCCTACCAGGGTCTTCTTCAGGCCACTGTTATAATAAATTCAAACAGTACAAAATCGAACAGGAACCGAATAAATGCGATTCAAATCCTAGAACGTCAACGTTAATGTCAAAAATATAGAACACCACACTCTTGCTTCGATGACGTCAAAGCTTGCGTAATTTGCGCTTGTAATAAATCCATATTACATCCAATTATGGGTTGTTCCTTCATAGCAAAATTTCCATGCACTAGAGATGTTGACTGCGTCTTTGGAGTTAATACATGTGTTGTTTAATCCCGCTTTATAAATTTCTAAGGTCTCCATAATCCTTAGTTGGTCTACATGGTGTGATAGCTTAATTAGACGGGCATTCTGTAGATCAACCTTTATTCCAGGTTCTGTGGCTACGGTTGAAAGGGTGGTGGTGTGCTTATTATTATCTATATCATACTTATGCTCCTGGAGACGTTTACGAAGGGAGAGCTTGGTTGATCCCACATACACTAACCTATTATTAAACCTGTCATCCCAAAGGGGGATAGAATATACTCCCGGTGCGCATTTTAAGTCAAGCCTATCTTTCCCGTTGCAAATTAGTCTATAGCTTTACAATTAACAAAGCGCAAGGACACACTTTAAAACATTGCGGCATCAACCTCAAAGACTCCTGCTTCTCTCACGGTCAACTATATGTAGCTTGCTCTCTAGTAGGAAATTCGAAAAATTTGTACATATATACCCCGGATAACAAAATGAAAAATGTTGTTTATAAACAAGTATTGTAATTAGAATATGTTTTCAATAAAATTTTTTTACCTGTTATATTTTAAAGTTTATCCTTTTATTCCAACTACCGCCAGTGGCGTGCCGTCATTGGAAGCGGTGGATGCGCCGCTTCCTTTGTATTTTCTAAAAAATAAATACATATTAATTTTAATTATATGAAAATAATCGCACAATATTTTATTATAATCGCATTATGTATCTTATTACAAATTTCTATACTACACGTGAAAAAAAAGATTGCTATTGTATATTCAAATATTAGTGGCCGAGCGGAAGCACTGTATCGTCAGCATCCAAAAAGCGAGATTCACGCATGCGCTTTACAGAGCACCAACCTCACCCTGTGAAAGCCTAGCTGGTGGAAGCCTAGGACGTTGGGTTGATGATACATGTATACTGCATCCAATTCTATCCAGGACCAGTTCTGGGCTGTTAGCCGCCTGCCCGCTAGATATTTGACAGCCCTCTCCCAATTACGTGACTCACGAGTAGATTTATAACTTAACCCAACCGATAAGAATCTAGTATTCTTATCGGTTGGGTTAAGTGTAGTGTGTAGAAATGTGTGTAGAAATGTGAACAAAGAGATAGGAGATATATAATTATATTTAAAATATAGAATTTTCTTAATCTTCAGATAACTTTTAGAGTTATTTTATAAAATTTTATCCTTCTTAATCTTTCCATAATATTTTTATCAATAGTCAATTTGACATTTTTATTTTTACAGCATAATATTGTATTATACACACAAGCGTCCATTTTGCTTTACACGTGTAGCGGACGTAAAAGCTGCTTTATCTTTGCTGCAGCGAGCGATTTCTTGCAGTAAAAGTTTAGAAACGGTCCGTTACATTGCAGCGTTGATTTAGAAACGGGTTTCAGAGTGTTTGCTGTAAAGCGTTTTCGAGCGTCCCATAAAGAAACGCGACCTTACTCATACCCCCGTGTTCACCAACACCAGTTAGAGTTAAAAGTTAACCAATGAGCGTTCACATACTAAAAGTAAAGCAAACGGTGTTTGGTAATCGAGATTTAACCCTAATTCTAACTTGTGTTGGTTAATACTGGGTATAGTGTAAATATATACAGTACATTGGACACAGTTGATGAATATTTGACCGGGTTGCAATTAGACTATGAGCGGCTTGTGAGTGTGAATTTGGCCTAAACACATTTCTAAATTAATATAATCTGGATTATGCATTACATCAATTTTAACTTTACGCCAATTAGTGTGAGGTGGCGATTTACAGGGGTTTAATTTTAAAATTCTTTCCGCCCTGTGGCAGTAAGAGGGCTTCCTTTTGCAAGCCCATTATGGATTCTGCCAGGCCCACAATGGCCCAGATATCCCGTCAGATCGGTAGGCTACCACCTTGACCGCTCGGCCATCCAGTCTGCGATTTACAGGGTGTCCCAAATTAAGTTTGACATTTTCCAACTGGCTACAGCAAAAACTACCCATCAGAAAGTCATGAAAGTTTTGGAATGCCTTAATAAGATAATGGAAATTTTTTATACAGAAAAAATGGTTAGTTTTAAAAATCACCACTAGAGAGCGTATTATAACTTTATAACAAAACATGTTCAAAACATTATGGCCACCATTGTCTGCTACCGTCTGAAATCTTTAAACAGCATGTTCAACGGTTGCCTTGGAATGTTACTCACGTGGTGTGCAAT